TCCCTTAGCTGAAGTTGCTCCTCCATTGAAGCTAGTGAGGATGACTTCTGTAGGAATCATGTCATCCTTTGTCTTTGCGAACTTTCTCATCATCCTAGATGGAATGGTGTTTATAGCTGCTCCATTGTCGACAAGCACTTTTGTCACTGGGACGCCGTTAACTAGAGCTTTAACGTATAATGGCCTCAAGTGTTTAGTCAATTTCATGGCTAGCCGTTTAAAAATAACCTTTTCGACAGCCTCTATTTCTACTTCCTGCTTGTTTTCTGTTGAATTATCCCCCTGTGATAAGTCAACGTGCAGTATATCACGCTGATCCTCTGTCTCCTGAATTTCCTTCCTACTTCTTTCTAATGCTTCCTTATCAATTACCCAACCTGTGGGAGGGGGCATTATTCTTGGAGGTGACCCATACTTTTCAGAGCGAGGCACTCTCTTCTTCCTTTTGGGTGTCCTGTACAGTACGTAGAAGTCGAAAGGACGCCCAGATGGTTCTCCCAACAAGTCTATTTCGCGAACTCCCTCTCGATGTAGTTGCTTCAATAGAGTATTGCGCGATACTCCTCTCTTTCTTCTTTCTGCTTCTAGGTCGATTTCTTCTTCAATGTCTGTCATCCCGTCGTCCTCTTCATCGTTGTAGGCCTCTCTAGAAGTCTGGCCTTCTTCACATACCATCACGCAGGCTTCTCCTTCGTTGTCTTCTCTCTCTTCTTCTTTTTCTTTATTCTTGAATTCATTAGCCAGTAAGTAATTATTGGCCACGACAGGAGGCAACGTACCGAATTGGATAGTGAGGGCCTGATCTGGATCTTCTTCATCCATTCTGTTTCGCTCAAACCTTGATCTTCCAGAAGAAGTTTCTGGTAGTTCCTTCATTGATTCATCTGTACCGGTCTCTTCATTATTTTTGAGGACATTTTGATTGGCTACCTTGAGTAGTTTAGGCGCTTTAGGTTGTGGCATTCCCTGTTGCTGCCTCATCATCCGTCCGTAGTTTCGTTGGAAACGCTTTTGTTGGGTCCTAGTCATCTCATCGAAGGGTATTGCCCTTCCTGCATTGTACTGGAATGAATGCCATACATTTGGCCGGCGAGGTTGCGGCCTGAATGTTCTTCCATTATCTGCTGGCCTGAACTACCTCTAAAAAGGCGGTCCTCTATAGAATGACGTACCTCGCTCTCTACCAGGCTGAGTGTTTAGGAAGAAGGTAGGGCGATGAGGATGCTGCCATGTCCCTGGTTTCTCCGTATTTCCATTCACTTCTCTTTTACACCTTGCACACAGGACGTCTTTATCCCTTTTTGGTTCTTTCCCCTTGATTCGTTCAAAGACGCTAGGAAGTGGTCTAGGATACTCTTCTCCATCATCTACGACCAACTTGAATTTTGACAACTTGTTTTTGAATCCAGATGTCACCATGTTTACTCCAAGTGGCTGTGGGAAAGGATTTTCGTCCACTGCCATCTT